CATGTTATTTTTAACAGATCGTAATTGTATATGTTTGTGGGATACGGTATTGTTTTGATATACATATCACATCTATCAATTCACTTACTTATCTTTTTTTGTGGTGAGACATTTGAAATTTGCTGTCTTAGCAATTTTTAAATATGTGATACATTATTTATTTATTTATTTATTTTTTCAGCATCTCAGTATGTCACCCTTGGTAGAGTGTCATGGTGTCACAGCTCACAGCAACCTCCAACTCTTGGGCTTAAGTGATTCTCTTGCCTCAGCCTCACAAGTAGCTGGGACTATAGGCGCCTGCCACAATGCCTGGCTATTTTGTTTTTGTTGTTGTTGTTGTTGTAGTTGTCGTTGTTTAGCTGGCCTGGGCTGGATTCGAACCCGCCACCCTAGGTGCACGTGGCCAGTGCCATAATCACTGTGCTGTGGGTGCCAAGCCTATAATACATTATTAACTGTAGTGACCCTGCGGTGCAGTAGATCTCCTTCTGTCTAACTGAACTTTGTACCTTTTTCTCCAACTTCTCCCCATGGCCCCACTCCCAGCCTCCGGAAACTGTCATTCTACCTTTTACGTCCATGAGTTTGACTTTTCAGATTCCACCCATGTGAGTGGAACAGTATTTGTTTTTCTGTGCCTGACTTATTTCACTTCACGTGGTGTCCTCCTGGTTCACTCATGTTGTTAAAAATGACAGACTTTCCTTCTTTTTCAAAGCTATTGAATAGTATTCTGTGGTGTATAGACACCCTATTTTCTTTATCCATTCATTGACTGATAGACACTTAGGTTGTTTCTGTGTCTTGGCTACTATGAATAGGGCTAACCTAATCCGAAGTTTTTGATGCTTGTTTTTAATAGCTAGCTTCCCAGCAGTCTTTCAAGCAGCATTGAGAGAGTCTGGACTCTAGAGCAGTGCCATGCAATAGAATTTCGTGTGACCATAAAAATGTTCTTTATATACATCCTACACTAAGGTAGCCACACGTTCTGTTGAGTGGTTGGAATATGGCTGGTGTGCCTGAGAAAAGACATTTTAAATTAAAAAAAAAAAGCCACATGTGGCTAGTGGCTACCGTGTTGGATAGTACAAAATTAGTGTTAGGACTAGACCTAGAACAGGGCTTCCCACACTTTTCTGTAAATGACCAGACAGCATATGTGTTAGATTTTGTGGGTCGTATACTTTCTGTTGCAACCTCTCGACTCTGCAGTTGTGGTACAAAATTATCCAAAAAGAGTATAGGTATAAGCAGTGTTCCAATAACACGTGTTTGATGGGCACCGAAATCTGATGTTCATAAAGTTTTGGAGTATCCTGAAATAATAGTCTTCTGATTCTTTTTCTGAATCATTTAAAAATGTAAGATCAAGTTGCTGCAGCTGACGTTATTTCATTCCTTTGGATTGTGGGCGCGTTGAAAAAGCCCCCCCTTCAGCATTATAGGGTGGCGAAGTGTAACAGAAACATTTGTACCCCCTTTATATTATGACATTTAAAAAGAGGAAAAAAATTTAAAAACCATTCTTAGTTCACAGGCCATGGAAAAGGGCAGCTGAGCTATAGTTTGCTGAACCTTGATCTTGTGTGTTCATAGGGATCCACCATAGAGACGTAACAATCCATGTGTTTATCCAGTGAATATTTATTGAGTGTCCATTGTGAGTGGGCCCTGGTTTGGGGGCCAAGGACAGAGCCATGCAAAACAGACAACATCCTTGTTCTCCTGGTGTTTAGCGTTCTGGTGGCAGAGAGACAGATGAAAATCAAATGAAAGATGGTGATAATGGTGAAATTATATAAAGAAAAACAGAGCAAGGTAAGGGAAAGAGTGACAGTGGAAGATGACATTTTATATAGGATAATTAGGTAAAGCTGACTTGATACGGTGACATTTAAGAAGACCCCTGAATGAAGAGAAGTGAGCCAGGTGCCTTCCAGGGGAGGAGCCCTGAGGCAGAAGCCTGCTCTGAATGGGAACAAAAGGAATGGGAGCGATGTGGAAAATTGATGAGATTAATATTTCAACAAAATTAATTCACTCCAAGAATATTCCATCAGTTTCAATTTTCATTTCATATGTATAAAAAACTATATTCCTTTCCTTCTTTTTCTTTCTTTCTTTTTTGGGAAACAGAGTTTTGCTCTGTTGCCCAGGCTAGAGTGCAAGGGCATCATCATAGCTCACCGCAACCTCAAGTTCTTGGGCTCAAGTGATCCTGCTGCCCCTGGCCTCCTGAAATAGCTAGTTCTCCAGGCATGTGCCACCACACCCAGCTGATTATCTTTTTTTCTATTTTTTGCAGAGATAAGATCTGACTATGTTGCTCAGGCTGATCTCAAACTCGGGCCTCAACTGAGCCTCTCACCTCAGCCTCCCAAAGTGCTAGGATTATAGGCATGAACCACTGTGCTGGGCCTGGGAAACTGTATTTCTTTCTTTCTTTTTTCTTTCAAGATGGAGTCTCATTATGTCACCCTGGGTAGAGTGCTGTAATGTCACAGCTCACAGCAACCTCAAACTCTT